TTATCAAAGTGAGGGCCAAGCAGATTACCCCTGAGCACCAAATTCCTGGTGGGCCACCAATCTGCAGCCTCCCTTCCGAGCTGCCCTGGAGGCCACCATGATATTCTCTACCAACTGTGCTCTTGCCTTTCTCCTAACAGGGAGCTCGCAACTTCCTTCCCTACTGGGCAGACTCGTATTCAGCCTCCAACACCCAACTCAAGAGTCACCTTAACTGTATCTCATTCTCAACTCTCTGACCCACTTTCCACCTCTCCACTAAGAAGGTAGAGGGGAATCAAACACAGGGCCAAAGAATCGACACAGAAAAGAAGGTAACACCAAGAAGGAAGACATGACCCTGGCCGGTTTGGCTCAGCAGTTACAGTGTCGATCTGCGGATCAGAGATTCCCGGGTTCGGTTCCCACTAAGGGCATGTACCTCGGTTGCATTTTGTCCCCAGCCCTGGTTGGGGTCATATGGGTGGCAACCAGTCGATGTGTCTCTCTCACATCGATGTTTTTCTCTCCCTCTCTCTCCTTTCTCTCCCTCCCACTCTATATGAAAAAAAAAAAAAGGAAGACATGGAAAAGTTATAAAACAAGCTTTTCCCACAGAAGAGGAATTAGGACCGCTTGGAAAAGTTACCCCATTGCTGCTTGAAAAATCACTTAAATAAAGACACTGGTCCCATTTGACCAGAATCTAATCTAATAAAATTTTAAAAGGGCAAATATAAAATAAAATAAAAACTAAGTGTAGAATTCATAAGCCAGATTAAAAAACAGTTGGATAAAAATACCTGGGGATTTGAGCTGAGAGTTGAGTCAACCATGTGATGAGACTGTCATGAGGAAGGCAAACCGCCCTCACAGATTTAGATTTCATTATTAGAAGTGAAGAGTCAACATAGCCCGGCTCTAATCTTAGGCGGCCAGCCCTCCCTAGAGTATTCTGAATGGTCCTGAATATTAACTTCTGTGGGTCAGAGAAAACCCTGAGAGTGACCCAGGGAGAGTATCCAGGTGGGGAGGAAACACAAAGCCAAGTCACAGGGGGACAAGTGCAGGAACCTGTAATGTTTACCCAGAGGTGGGGAAGATCTGGGTGCGTGATCATGATTTCTGTCTTCAAGCAACTGACAGGTTTCCATGTGGATTTCACCTATGTGGCCCTCAAGGGTATGACCAGGCCCTGTGAGTGGAAACACTAAGATTTCATCTCAACACTGGGGAGAATTTTCTATTGATCATGGTTGTCTCTAAATGGAATGAGCTGTCCTGAGAGGTAATGAATGCCCTTTATTGAGGGCGATCTGGCCAAGAAAGGATGATCACTCTTACAGGACAGGGACTGAAAGCCTCAGAGACATCTCTTGATTTACTGCACCTCAGTTTTTTCTGGAGAACCACCCCTCACCCAATCTCTGCCCCACACATCAGGTGAAGCTGAGTGTCCATTTGATTTCAGGAGTGGGTGTGTTTCTCAGGCCTGGTCAGTCCACACTGCATCCCCCAGACACAGGTACAGTGGCATGAGTGCCCATGTGACCCACACTGAGCCAGTCAGAGCCCATAAGACCCAATTCTAGGGAAAAAGAGCTCTCACTTTCCATTGAATTTGAAGCAGGTGGGATGTAAGCCTGGAGCTGCCAGGGGCCATCTTGTCATCACATGGAGAGAGACTGACTACAAAAGAGCCCTTCACGGTTCCCCCTAAAAGGGGGGAGGGGCATTGGAGCACAGCTGCAGAGAGACTGAATTCTTTTGTGCCCCTGAAGCCCCCCATGCCTAAAGCCAGGCTTGGCTCTAGAGATCTGGTCAATTCCCTCTCCCCCCTCAAGCAGGTTGAGCTGCATTTCTGTGGTCTGAAACCATAAGAGTCCCGATCCCTACTGTGACCTCTAAGATCTCATCCAGTTCCACGCTGCTGTGGCGGATCCACACCTCACGCTTAAAGCAAGGGCCACCTGCGTGCATAAGTCCATTTAGAATGGCTTCTGAAATTCGAAGTGCTTCCTGTAGTCACAAGAACAGATTCTACTACAAAAGCGAAAATGGAGACTCATGAAAAGGTCGTTACTAAGTCAAACAGCATCTTCATTGGTGAGAAGCTGGCCGTCAAGGCAGCTGCCCCAGGCCCAAGCCCAAGAAGGGGACCTGGCCTGCAAGCCGCTCCCAGCTCCTGCAGAGGCATTGCTAGAGCATGACTCGGGGTGATGAAGGAACACCCGCCAAGTGCTATCTATCTCAGGAACGGAGAGAGGCTCTATTCTTCAGGATCACTGGCGAGCCACCATGTAATGAACACCTACTGGAAGCCAAGTCTGTGCTGGACACTTGGACTATATCTACTCTTCAAAACAGGCTCCCGAGCCCTGGCTGGTTTGGCTCAGTGATGAGACCATCAGCCAGTAGACCAAAGGGTCACGAGTTTGATTCCCAGTCAAGGGCATGTACCTGGGTTGCAGGTTTGATCCCCGGCCCCAGTTGAGGCGTGTGCAAGAGGCAATGCATCGATGTCTCTCTTTCACATCAATGTTTCTCTCTCTCTCTCCCCCCACTCTTCTCCCTTCCACACTCTCTCAAAAATCAATAAAAGAAATATCCTCAGATGATTATTTAAAAAATAAAAAATAAAAAAATAAAAATAAACAGGCCCCTGATGGAAACATTGTCACCATCTCCACTTCCCAGATGAGAAAACTGACTCCCAGGGAGACTTGCCAGGATCACACAGACAGTGAGACACAGTTCTGCTGCCTCCTGCCGGTGATGACAACAGGCCCAAAGTCACCAAGTCCGGGTTCTCCTTGACCTTCTCAGGCTTCAGCTCCTCAACTATAAAATGGGTGAATAACGAGCCTGTTCCCCAGTGGACCAGAGGCTGGCCCTGCGGTCATTTGGAGTCCTGCAGGAATGTTGTGATGTAAGGGATGCAGACTCAGTGCCGTGATTCTCTGTAACCGATGTGACACAAAGGGGCCGTGCTGTGCTAAATCAGCCAGCGAGGCCCTGTCCCCATCTCTCTCCTGGCCCATAAGGGCTGGGTCAGTTCCTTTGTTCCGCAGGCACAGGCCTGGTAACAAGGCAGCCAGGAGCTCAGCTGTAGACATTTTTTCATTATTTTCCACCCTGTTAACCTCCATCACAAGTGAAGCTGCTGTCAGCTTAAATGAGAACTGAAAAGATTTATCTCACTTGTCCCTGGGCTCAGCTCAGGAAAAAGACCCTTCATTTCCTAAAGGCCCCGATGACCCTTTCTCTTTGAGTCACTCCCACCCAGGGAAAAAGATGTGACAGTGGCAGCAGGCAGAGGCTTGTGATGGGACCGAGTGACCTGAATCACTTCAGTGTGGCTTTGCAAAGTGCTGTGGGATTGTTTTTTTATTGCAATGTATTTACCTTCCTAATTATGCTTAAGCAAATATTAAAGTTAGACCATGTTTCATTAGCACAGCCCCAGGAGGACTCCAGAGCATACGGTGTGGACGGAGGGGGCCAACCTGTGATTCCAGTTTTGCTGTAGAAGTCATCCTCAGAGTGGACAATCCTAATACAGACATGGCGAGAATATTCTATTTCAAACCAACGTGTCCTCTTCCTTGTGCTTCTAGAAACCCAGGTTACCTAATCCCTAAAATTAGCACCTGGCAAGAACAGATGAGCTGGGTTATTTTAGCAGTAAGGGCCGCGTACGTTCCTGTAACAATAGCCAGCCTTCCTGAGCAGTTAGCCGCCAGGCGCCGTTTTCCACGCTTTACTTGAAATGAAAAACCCTCTTAACCCTCCCAGCTGCCCAGTGGGTATTTCTATCCCTATCTCACAAATGAAGAAACTGAAGCAACGAGGGTAAAAGGAAAAGCCTAAAGGTGGAAAGCTGAGGGTGGAACCAGGATTATAACCCCAGGAACTGCAATAATTCTGGACCCAAAGACCCCGGACCAGCTCTCAGCACCGTCCTCCCTCACACGCACTGTCTCCTTTGCCCTGACCCTGCTGCTCACGATGGTGGATCTTAACTCCATCCGCGAAGCTGAGGATGAGGCTCAGAGACTAAAGGACTTGCCCACTTTACGGATGGGAAACTGAGGTTCACAGAAGTGAGCTCAGCTCTGCAGATATTCACACAGCGCCCAGTGATTGCTCGGCACTGTGCACGGGCCTTGGGGTACAGGGGCCTTGGGACACAGAGGCCTTGGGGGCACAAACCGAGACTGCTCCCTCCACTCAGCCTCTGGGTCTTTACACGGGTAAAACCTTTCTGAAAGCAACTGAGCAGTCTGTTAAAAGACTTAAAATCAAGTAAACTTTTGAACCTAAAATTCGTATGATCAAAACTGATGCTGGGAAACAGCGGTGACTGTGACCAAGGTGTATATACAACACTGCTCGCAGAAGCATTGTTTACCAGTGTGAAAGAATGGGATAACCTAAGTAGTCAACAATAAAACATTGGTGAAATAAATTAGGATGCATTCTATAATGAAATAGTAGTCATTCAGAAACGTTACAGAAATATATTTACTGCCATGGGAAAATTCTGTAAAGCGTTATATAAATTTTAGGAGACATAAGCAGATAGTGAAATCATATGCAGGCTGGTCTCACTGGGAAAGTGCATATGCAAAATGTGAGAACATGAGCACTCAAGAGGAACGTGTTTGCATGTGTACATATAAAGAAATACCTATGACACCGAATTGACATAACATTTCGGTGATTTTAATTTTTATGCTCATGTCTACTTTTCCAAATTCCTACAATGAACGTGTACTACTTACTTTATCATGAAAAGGTTTTTACTTTTGTGGTGGTTGCTCAAGTGGCTGAGCCACTGCCATATCCAGGATTCAAACTCAGGATCTGGGATGCCCAGTCCGGCCCTTGCCCCCTGCACCCTTCAACACCTGCCCTCCTGATCTCGTGTCCCCAAACCAATCCCACCCTGGCTGGCACAGTGTTGCCATGGCCAGCCTGGGGCAGAGACCCCGGCAGGTCAGTGTGGCCTGCTTGCCCACCTTTTTGAAGAGTCTGATGACATCCTCACTGATCTGTGAGAGGCGGACGATGACGTTGTTCATGAAGATGTCATTGAGGGTGGCATGGTCTCGGCTCTCCCGCCTGGTCTGATGCAGGACCAGATACCAGCAGTTCACCGGCGAGAGGAGGTACTGGTCCTTCCTGTGGAAACCAAGACAGCTCGCGTGGGCTTCACTGGAACTATCATCCAGACGGTGTTCTAGTGTCACTCACCGCGGCCCTTTCAAGCTCGGTTCTGTTTGAACACAGGCACAGCTGGGGAAACGGATACTACGAAAGCTGAAGTGATCCTCTCCAGGTCCCAGACAGTGCTGGGGCCCAAGCCCATGTCTCTGACAAGTCCGACCCGTCCACTCTCCCACTGCATTTGGCATCTGCTCCATGCGGCCCTCCCTTCTGGGAAGGAGCTGCCTTCCCCAGGGCCACGGAATACTAAACCCGTCGTGTCTGAAACACTGGCATGAGTTCTAGAGCTATGCAGTGGGGAGAAATGTGAACACTTCCTTTTCCCTTCCCTGCCTCCCCGACCCCCTGGGGTCCCCTTTGTCCTCCCCCAGGGCTATGGGCCTGGAGGGTTTCAGGGTCTGCATTTGGGAGGAGAGGTTAAGGAAGCTGCTTTGAGCCAAGTACATTCAAGGCCAGCACATCTTCGCCCTGTAATGACGGAGATTCCCAGCATCTTCCGGCTGGGCAGCACCATGCTGAAACAGGGTTTCTCACAGGGGTCTCAGACCACCAACAGCGGCAGCACATGGGGTCTTGTTAGAAATGCAGATTCCCGAGCCCCACTACAGACCTGCTGAATCGGAAACTCTGAGGGTCCCATTGTTTCCCAAAGCTTGGGAAATGGGATGCTTCCAAACATTGAAATGGGGGAATCTCTCTCTCAAAGGCCCCTCTGTCTGCCTCAGTGAAGGGGATAGATATAGACAGGTACATATAGATACACTGATATCGATATATCTTATTCTCCAGGAAGAAAGGGGGAAGGGCAATTAGAAATCAAAATCAACCCCGCCCCTCCCCCTTCACCAATCCCATGTCCCATCTTGCCCTCTGACCCTGCCTCTTCCCTTACACTGCTTTCCAGGGAGGAAGGGAGATGCTGGAAAGGCAGGATGTGGGGGGGGAAGCCCATCCTCCACCTGAGAGTGATCTGCTCAGGGTGCCCCAGGCCTGCCTTGTTCCACCCACGCCCTGGGGGGGGGGGGGTGGCGGTGGGGGGGGCACCTACGCGAGGGCTGGCCCCGAAAGGGAAGTCGGCTGACTTTCACTGTGACCGCATCATCCTCTCAAAGCCAAGTGCAAGTGCTGGAGGGTGCAGCCCTGGGGCCTCTGGGCTCCCACAGCCCCCACACTCTCACCCTGCCCAAACCCCGAGCTTGGGAAGGGAAGGTGGCCCCTGCCACTTGACTTGGAGGAATTTTCTTTGTGCACGAAATGGGCAGAAATTTGGGAGAAGGGAATTTAGTGCAGATAGAGGGTAGATATACTGGCAACTCTCCAAGAAAAAGGGAGGAGACCGCTGCTTAGGAGAAACAAACAGATTCCTCCTTTGCTTATAGCCTCGAGACAAAGCCAGAACACTAAAATGCAACCACCCAACCCAAGTCCCTCGCCGTCTACCTCCTATCAGGTCTCAGGTGGGCTGCGGAGGAACGTGACAGACCGGCCTTGGAGGCAGAAGAAAACATGACAGTGGAAGGCGATAAAGCGTCTGTTCTGCGTGAGAAGGTAGAGAAGGCGCCGCTCTCCTCCTGTGCTCCCCTTTCAGGCAGAGTTCTTCCCCACCTGAGGCCTTCACTCGCCCGTTCCCTCCATCTGGCAGGAGTTAGCCCTTGCTCTGGTCACGACCGCCTCCTTCCTCTAGGTCTCAGTTTAAATGATACCTCCACAGAGGGCTTGCCTGTAACCACCCTCCAGGGCACAGGTCCTCCGAGCGCGATCCCAGGACAGCAGCAGCAGCATCACTTGGGAATTTATTGGAATGCAGGGCCACTCCAGACCACTTAATAAGAAGCCCTGGGGGTGGGCCCAGCATCTGTGTTTTAACCAGCCCTCCAGGTGGTTCGGATGTGCTCAAGTTTGAGAACACCTGCCTTAAGGGGTTTCCATCCTGCTCACCTGTAAGTTCTGTCAGAGCAGAGACCGTTTGTTTTAGTGGCCACATCCAGTGCCCAGCAACATGCCTGACACAGAGGAGATGCTACAGAAGAGAGACCCATAAAAAAAGGTCACATTCATGCTGGGTCTTGAAGAATGGGTAAGAGTTTTCCAAACAGAGAGGCAGAGAAAAATGGAATTACAGGCAGAGGGAACTGTGGATGCAAAGAGAAGTAGCTCAGCACAGCAAAAACTCCAAATGTGGCAGGAGAAGACCGACAGGATAGGAGGCTGGAGAGACAGGTTCAGGGCTTGATGGGGGGCTGTGGGCATTGAACGCCAGGCTCATGAGTTGGGACTTCATCCTCTAGGCCACATGGTTCTCAACCTGAGTTGTACTGGAATCACCTGAGGACCTTTTAAAAACACCAAGACCCAGGTCCCATCCAAGACCAATTAAGTCAATCTCTAGGGGTAGAGCCTTGGTATCGGTATTTTTGAAAACATTCTCTAGGGGATTCTAATGTGTATCCAGATTTTAAAATGCCCACTGTGGGCAATGAGGAGTCATGGAAGTTATTTAAGCAGATGTATAATCTAACCAATGTGTGTCTTAGAAAGATCACTGAGAGGAGATTGAAGGATAGAGGCAGGATGGAAGGATGGATGGGTGGGTGGATGGGTGGGTGGATGGGTGGGTGGGTAGATGGGTGGGTAGATGGGTGGGTAGATGGGTAGATGAGTTGGCGGGTGAGTGGATTGACGGGTGGATGGGTGGGTGAATAAATGAGTAGCTGATGGGTGGGTAGGTTGGTGTGGGCATAGGCATGGAGCTGGAGACAAGAGGACCAGTCAGGAGGTGAGCTTAGTCTAGGAGAGTAGAGATAATGAGGGCCTGCATGGTGGCCAAAGAAGCTGGACTTGAGAGACCCAACAGGGGAGCAGGTATCCTGGAGACAGCCTAGAAAGAGAGTAGGAGGGAGGAGTAGATGTTGATTCTGAGGTTTAGAGGTTCAGAGCTCAGGCGACTGGGTGGATGCTGATGACATGAACCAAGATAAGAACAGCAAGGGGAGGAATAGGTCTGGGCAGAAAATACTTCACAGATCCCGTTTTTCATGGCTGCCTGGGCGGCGATGAAAATGGAAAGATGAGAGTAAACGAGAGACCAGATAAGCTGTTACCTAAATTACTTTGGAGGCTTATCTCACAGCATCAGGGAATTAAGTGTGCAAAATTTATGGGAGTCACAGCCAGAAGGTGAGTTTTTGGGGGCAGGGGAGGAAAAACATGTTGAAAGGGTGCAGAAGTGCTGGGATGGCTCAGGGACCATTGACTAGGCCACCTGGTCAGGGAGGTGTAAGAGAGAGAACAGAAAGGCCAGCGCTGTCCTTCTGAGAAGCTGTGGGCAGGAGGCCATGCAGTCTTCATGGAATTACGGGGAGGCAGACTGGGTACAGGCAGGGAGGAGAAAGCCACCTGAAAGCAACCAAGGGCTTGTCCCAGTGAGCAGCTACTGGGAGCACGGACGCCTCGGTTCACTGGGCTGTCACTCACGCCCTGGCTGCCCGGTACCTGTGCCAGGCACCGCTGGAGGCTGTGGATGCAGCAGAGACCAGAGCACAGGACCCTGATCCCACAAGCCTTCCACTCTAGTGAGGGGGGCACCCAAGGAAAGAAGACGATGGTACAGCCTCACATGTGTAGTGACGAGAAGGAGGCTGTGGACAAAGGCAGTGTCACTCCACATCCCCCTCCCCGCCCTCGCGCTGCCCAAAGGCTGTGGACGAGAAGGAGGCTGTGGACAAAGGCAGTGGTGGTGAGGTGGACATGGATGGCATCCTGGAGGAAGCAGATTCTAGACTGAGAACTAAAGGCTGGAGTGGTTTTATAGGGCAGAGCGTTCAGGGCAGAGAAATGTGATGATCAAAGGCCCAGGTGGAGGCAGAGAGCATGCTGGTGAGCTGAACAGGTGGGGGGGGGCTTCAGCATGGTGTTCTGGGGGGTCGGGTGGGGTGAGGAATGAATTGGAGAACTAGGCAGAGGCCACATAGCTAAGGGCCTTGAAGTCCCATTGGAGAGTTTGAGCTGTGTCCTGAGGTTGGCGGAGAGCCAGCGAAGGGTCTGGAGCAGGGCAGTGAAAGGGTGAAACTGAATCTTCAAACTCTGTTGTGGCCACCATGAGAAGTTGGGCCCGCAGGGCCAGGGGAGGAGGGGAGGAGTCCACGGAACACCTGGGTGGTAAACTGACCGGACTTGGAGCCTGACTGCGGTTAGGGCTGGAGCTGAGAGGGAGGAAAGACCATCAGGACCGCTCCCAGGTGTTCTAGGCCGGGCCCTGGGGGAGCAGGGGTGGCCTTTACTGAGAAGAGGGAAGCAGGCCAGCGCGAGGGCGGGGAGGGGGATGTGGGGTGACACGAACACGGAACACCCAGCTGCAAATGCTTGGGCTGGAAGACAAACGTGGAAGCTGACACGGAGCTCAGCCCAGTGAGGGAGGTGATAACCCTCAGAGAGATCGGCAAACACGTGTGGAGTTAAACTGCAGAAAGTGCTGGAGGGGAGAGCCTGGTGTCATGGGAGCCCAGAACAAGGGAGCCCGGCCGACTCCGGGGGCCAGCGACGTGTCCCTGGGGAAGGGGTCTTTCAGCTGAGCTCTGAGGGAAGAGCTGGAGGGAGCAAGGTGAAGAGGATCGGGAGTGTGGACTTGGGGCAGACAGTCCCAGGCGGAGCGAACAGCATGGGCAAAGGCTCCCTGAGGAGCAGGGAACTCAGTGACTGTAAGGAACCGAGTAAAGGCCAGTGTGGCTGCAGCCCAGAAAGCAAGGAGGGGCGGGGGACAGGTGCACCGGCAAGACCAGCACATTGGTCACCGTCCTGCTGGCCTTCTGGATGGTTCAGGGACGGCAGAAAGAGGCACCCAGGCCACCGATGGCAGAGCTAGACTCTGGTCTTTGGGGCCTTCGGTTTTATCCTTCCCTTTTCAGGGGGTCACTTGTCCTTTTTGGAAGTGGGACCCCTCGGACCTGAGAGCCATT